TAGTCTGCCCTGGTGAGGTCCCATCTGTCATACTGTGTCCAGTTCTGGGCTACCCAGTTCAAGAAGGACAGGGAACTGCTGGAGAGGGTCCAGTAGAGGACCACAAAGATGATTAGAGGCCTGGAGCATCTCTTTTATGAGGAAAAGCTAAGGGGCTTTGGTCTTTTTAGTCTGGAGAAGAGAAGGCTGAGGGGGCACCTGATCAATGCCTATAAATACTTTAAGAGTGGGTGTCAGGAGGATGGGGCCAGTCTTTTTTCAGTGGTGCCCAGGGATAGGACAAGAGAAAATGGGCACAAACTTGAATATAAGAATTTCCGTCTAAACATGAGGAGGAACTTCTTCACTTTGAGGGTGGCAGAGCCCTGGAACAGGCTGCCCAGAGAGGTGGTGGAGTCTCCATCTCTAGAGACATTCAAAACCCGCCTGGACAAGTTCCTGTGCAACCTGCTCTGAGTGGACCTGCTTTGGCAGGGGAGTTGGACTAGATGATTTCCAGAGGTCCCTTCCAACCCTATATCATTCTGTGATTCTGTGACTAAATGTAGAGTGGGGCTTTTGTAGCACATCTACAAAACCAGGCAGTCTAGAAAGACACTAGATAAAGGTGGAAAGGACTTTCACATGACTGGCCAGAGCAGCAGGAGCAATTTGCAGTGATGCCCTGAAGTTACTGTGTCCTGCCATGAGTGAAAACTCAGCCAGATGTCTCTTCGGAGCAGGAGGGGAAGCTGTTTCTGAGCTGCCCTGGGCCCGACAGGCTGTTTCTTCCTCCTCCAAAGGGTCAGATAGAAATGAGAAGATGCAGTAGCATAAGAGAGAAGCTCCCAGTTAAGGCAGGAGAGATTGCCATGCAAATGGAGCTTGGTGCAAGACATTGCCCTGTAAGATCACTTGTAGGAACATTACATTGAATCTACCTGAAGCAAGCAGCTTGAGATGCTGTCATGTGTGGACAAACAAGGCCCTGAAGAGTGAGCAGGAGCAGACTTGAATGCAGCTCAACAATACCTCCTTCTCATGAAAAGATCTCTCTCCATCCAAGGGAGCAAGCCCCTCTCTTCTACTCGTGCAGGAGACCGGACCAGGGCCATGGGATAAGGAAATTGAAAACAGCTGGAAGATACTTGATGTTGTAAGAGGGGTGTGGTGACCCAGGTGTGTTTGGTCAAAGGCAAGAAATCCAGATGTGCACAGGGAAGTGGGGAGATTGATACTCTGTTGTCAATTTTGCCTGAATTTATACCCAAGAGCAGCATGGCAGATTAGGTATTTCTTTTGCAAAACAAGCTGTTGACTGGAACCAATATTAGCTTATTTTACCCTCATCCTCCCTCAGGTTTTGACTGTGCTTCCTTGGATGTAAAGCTTAGGGACACAAATGTCCATGACAGGTCAATCTACCTATGGAGAGGATGATGATAGATGGAGCCTGGTGAGTCCCTGTTGGTGAGCAAACAGGCATCTGCCCATCAGGCCCAGCAGAACAGGCAGAACTGGAGCTGGGTGAGCAGCTACCCGGCAACTGGGAGCTCTGGGTTTATGGGAGCACAATTTCCATCACTTCATGCAGCAGATCAGCTCTTATCAAGAAGCTGTGTCATTTTTATAGAGAAGTCAACAAAGCCTACTGGTAACTGCCAGTAATTAGCTGGTAAACAACTTCCCAGCACAGGTACCTGATTGCAAATACGTCTTGGTCTGCACTCAGATTATTTTCAGTAATATGTCTGTCTCTCCAAGAGGAATTCCCAGCTGTTGCTTCTGGCAACCACAGTGGGCTCTTTTTTTTTTTTTTCCCCAACCATTGCTGCTTTCTTCAGATCTTGTTTTTGGTTGACCAACAAGCCTTCACAGCTTTCCACATTACTGCAAAGTCCATTTTTGACCAAGTGGGTCAGCAAAGGCCTCCAAGGGAGCAGAGCAGCCATGGGAAAAGATGGAAGGTTTTGGCATGGAAAAACACATGGATAAATGATAGGAAGCAGGGGAGGTCAGTGAAACCAACATGAAGCTGATGCATGTGCAGAAAAACAGTCCTGGGGGGGGGAATATGGTGGAGGTCTAGAAAGTCCAGAGAGGTCTGGAGAGGATGGCAGGGGGGTGGCTGGTCAAAGACTGATCCCAGATGGGACATGGAGTGCCAAGGGAAGGCTCACAGTGTGCAGGAGGTGACTCTGCACCCAGCAGCTGTGCATCCTTGCTGCCAGGGAGAACCTGCACAAGCCAAGGTAGGAGATCTGGTAGCTGCTGAAGAGTTAAACACATCGGGGTCAGGAAATCCCCCAAGCAGAAAATAGTCAGAGGCTGGAGAAGGACACAGGGGAGGAAAAGTATCGGATAAGCTTGGCCTTTCTGCCCCTTCAATGAGAGGTGCTTAGGGCTGCCTTGGGAGAGTGGGGCGTTGGGGGTCAGGGAGCAACCAGCACCTCACATGGGTTTGGTGGGCAGGAGAGTGGCCCCAGGGATATGGGATCGGGCCAGGATGCCAAGCAGAGCCACCACCAGCCTCACACTCAGTACATGAGGATCGAGAGTCAGTGTTAAATGAACTATTTTTTCAGCAGTCTCCTTTCTGTTTGTCCGTGCAGAGATTCTGCTGGTGCCCGACTTCTCACCACCCGTCATACTTCACTGGGTTACCGTTAGGCTTGAATTCTTAAGAAAAGAAAACACTTCAGCTGCCTCCTTTCAGGGACTTTCCGAAGAAGTAACTGTGAGAACCAGTTTAAGCAATCCCAAGGTTTCCAGTAGGAAACTGAACCCTCTAAGGTCTGTTGAAAGTGAGCACTTCTGTCCTGCCAGCAGCCTTAAAGCTCAGCAGCCCCAGGCAGATTGGGATGGAGAGAGGCTGCTGCAGGGAGAGGTCAGCCCCAAGCAAGGGCATGTTTGCTCTCTGCTCTTTGAGCTTGCTTTGGGCATTGCCAGTTATTGGGAAGATTATTTCCTTTCTTGCAAAACAGGTTGGTTTTTGGTTTTGTTAGTGGTCTGGCTGAAATGCAACAGCTGATCATGTGATTGTACCAAAAGCATTTCACTGGAAAGGAAAAGAAATGTGCTGTGGAAATGTTATCCTGTGATCCTCCTTAATTCACTAATAAAGCATAGCCATGGGGCTCCTGTCGTGTGGCAGCACTAAAGAACCGTTTTTTCTAACACCAGACAAGATCTGTATTAGAGTGAGAGAAAGAGCAAGACCAGAAGGCTGTTCTGCTCTCCTGGTGTCTCACCATGGTGTCATCTTGAGGTCCTAACCAGATCTCCTCTAACTTTTAAGAGATGCACACGTATCCTCACCCCTCACTAGCACAGTGACATATCCTCAGCCAGGGACTTTGACAAAAGAGACATTCAATTAACTGGATTTACTTTAATTGGCAAGATTTGGGGTGCAAAAAACCAGCAGTAGGTGGAGAAAAAGTCAAATCTGTAGAAGCACAAACCTCTCCTTTGACCTGCAAACTGAGGGCTAGCTGCTCAAAGCAGCCCAGGGAACACACACTTGGAGGATGTGGAGCAACGAAAGGAAAGTAAAAGGGCTGGAAGAAATGTCCTTTGAGGAGCAGCTGTGGACTTTGGGCTTGTCTAGTTTAGAGAAAAAGGCTGAGGGGCGACCTCATTGCTCTCTACAGCTATCTGAGGATGTGACATGGAGAGGGAGATGCTCAGCTCTTCTCCCCAGTACCCAATGACAGGATGTGTGGGAATGGCACAAAGCTGTGCCAGGGGTGGTCTAGACTGAACATTAGGAAGCATTTCTTTACCAAGAGGCTGGTCACACACTAGAACAGGCTTCCTAAAGAGGTGGTCAATGCCCCAAGCCTGTCAGTGCTTAAGAGGCATTTGGACAATGCCCTTGATAACATGCTTTAACTTTTGGTCAGCCCTGAATTGGTCAGGCAGTTGGACTAGATGATCATTGTAGGTCCCTCCCAGTTGAAGTAATAGTCTAGTCTATTCTAGGCATTATGGCCAGAGCTGCCAGTCTGAGCTTTGTCTTTAAGGAATAAACATCCTTGGCTGTGCAACCCAAATAGCTGTGCTTCTCTGGTCTAGTGAGCTTGAAAAGCTCTGAGCAGGTAACCTGCAAAACTGCAGGTCTGTCCTCCTTGCAGCTTCAGGGTCTGAACGAGCCTTAAAGCACTTCAGCAATTTATTTCGATGAGTTCTTCTCAACCTGGCATGTCAGGCGTAATTAAAAGTGAATTATTAATTCTGAGGCTTCACTCTTTTAAGAAAAGACGTGCTGCCCACTGCCCATGATGGGGTGGGCAAGACCGCGGGTAGCACCGCTCTCCAGTAGCTGCTCCTGGGTGGCACCTCTCTGTCTCTGCAGGATGATGCTCGACAGGATTTTTGCTTTCCTCATCTACCCACACGTGTCAAAAATAAGGCTGCTTGGATTCAAAATCCCACTGCGTACAGTCAGGATCCAAGCGACCTCAGCAAGCAGCGGAATGATAACACCAGCCACTACCAAGTTTGCTCCGTGGTGATGAGCGGTGCAGATTCTGCAGCTTCCCAGCACATCCCATTCCCATCCGACAACCATCCAACACAATGAGGTCCTGCTCCCCTTCCCACCACCCTCTCCCATGCTGCCAGCATGCTGTGAGCCCGCTCACCTCTGCTGAGGAGGAACAGCTAGGTCAGGGAGCAAACAGAGTGCCCGGGAAGTCACTTAGCACCTGCCTCACCCCCAGAGCAGGTGTATTCATCCCTTACTCTTAGCTGTTTAAAAGCACTTGATAAAAGCCTCCAGCATGATGGCATGGTGTTTGCTCCTGGCCAAGCCATCCCAGCACCTTGCCAGACTGTCCCTCACTCTTCTGCATTTAATCCCATTTCAAAATGGGATTTGAAACGCACCCACAGGCGCTGGTGGGCTCAGAGCTTTGCAGCCCAAGCAACACTTCAACAGCAAAGCAGATTAAAACCTCAGGGGAGGGGGAGCGGTTCACTTCCCACTTTCCAGCTAGCCCGATTGAGGAGAAACTTACCCTCAAGCCAAGGGAGGAGGCAAATACAGCCCAGGCTCAGCCTGAAAAGCTCCATGGTTTGCCAGCACAGCAGGGGGGAAGGAGCCCCCGAAACCTCTCGCCCAGGAGGATTGCCAGGCAGCTCGCTTTTCCCCCTTCCTCTGTCATTCACAGCAGAAAAACCTGCTGGGGAGAGAAAAACTCTTTTGTCTTTGCGCTGGAGACTTGGCAGCTGGCTTATCAGGAAAGGATCAGCCTTGGAGACACGGTCCCGCTCAGCGGTTATCCCTCAGGAGAAATCATAAGACGGGCCAGGATAGGGGGGACCCTGGACCCTGATGCTCGCAGCCACCCAGCTCGGCTCCTTAGCAGCCGTGGCGGTTGCTCCCAGCAATGAGAGGAGAATGCTAAGCAGGCTGGCGGGCTGCCTTCCCCGGGGCTGGGGGTGGAGGAGGATGCAGGGCTGGCCTGGCAAGAAAAGGCAAAGTTCGACAGGAGCGCCCGGAGGGGCGTGGGATGCTTGGCTGTTCCCTCACAGGGTTGTTTTTCTCTTTAGGGAGAAATATTCCCCCCTTGAGATGAGTTTAAGCACCGTTATAGGTCACAGTGGAGATGAAACCTCACAAACTGGCTGTGGAGCTGGAGGGTGATGGGGGTTGGAGCTGAGCTCCTGGCCATGGAGCAGGGTCCTGCTGTGGGTCTGACCTGATGCTCTGTGCAGCAGGAAAACCCCACATCCCGCCCTGAGGGACAGCAGCAAAGGCTGTCAGGTCAAACAGCAGCAGAAGTTTGCTAGCAAGATGCTCCCATTTGGCTGAATCCCCTCTGCACTTGTCTGTCCCACCTGCTAGCCAGGGTCCTTATCACCCGGATATATCATCAGTCCTTTTGCATAAAAACACATAACAATGATGGCCTCACAATTACTTTTGGGGTCAAGTCCTGGATGGCACCAATGTCACATCTCCGAGCTCTGCCCATGAGACCAGGAGTCACTGCAAGAGCTGGGAGATGCTTCGTTTAGTGGCCAAGCTGTCAAATTAAACAACGCAGTGTTGGCATCTGTGCAAGGGCACAGGCTTAGATCAGAGCCTTGTGAACATGCAGTTCCCTCCATGCCCATTCCTGGGCTGATGGCCCCCAGATTTCTTCTTCTCAGAGGAGGGATCTGGCCTCAAACCAGACCGGCTTCTTCCCAGGAGGTTGGAGATAATGGTGAGGGATATCCTATGGCCAAACAGAAGAGAAGGTTGGGCTAAATTCTTGCCCTGTCAAGGTCACTCCTGCTGCAGCACCGCACTCAAGAAGAATACCATGGAACTTGTTTCTTTGGCATTACTGGTTTCTTTTCCCTATGGGGAGGTGTCAGGTTGCACTAAATACCACGCATTTTTAATGTTAAACTCTCTTCTGCATGACTGGGGTTGAAAATGCAAACGCTCTCCACCACATTCATCGAGTGAGCGTGTCTCTCCCACAGGAGGAGGAGGAGATGGAAGAGCTTGGCCTGGAGGTGTCACCCTGTCAGATGGAGAGCATCACAGTGAATATCTTGGTGAAAAGTTTACTGGGCTCTTCTACCATGGATCCTGCTATTGCTCCAAGCCTGGGAGCTGGTACATCTCCTGTGTTTCTCCTCCTGGTCCTTCCATCCGTTTCACACAAGGGAAATGGAGACATGTAGAGCTGTGATCTGCCCAAAGCCATTAATTCTGTCTCTGAGCTTCTGAATCCCACGTTTCTCCCAAGCCACTGGACTGCAGCCTGTCCCTGTATGTGCCAGGGAGGTGTCCTCCTGCCAGGCAGGGTGCTGTCAGGGGTCTTTACTGCAGTTTTAGGGTGGGAAAAACCATGCAGAGTCAGGCTACAGGTCTATCTCCAGGCCTGACCCACAGAAGATGCCAAGGGAAAGCTAAGAAAATAGTAAATGTGTCCACTACTCTTTTCCTACAATATTCAGCTCAGGTTTTCCCAATCCCAGCAGTTTAGCAGCTCTCCTACCTCTGTGTGATGGGCAGCTCAGATTTTGCCCTGGCCAAGCCCCTCCCACCTCCATGGGGAGAATCCATCTATTCCCTCTGCTTCCCTCCTTCCTGCAGGCATTTAACCTGGCCAGGACCTTCGTTTTATTCTGAGTCTCCTTTGTCCCTGTTGGGGCCTTTTAAACTCTGTGCAAAATCTTTAGGAAATCCAGGTGTTTTCTTCTCCAGGATGTGATTCCAGCCTTTTGAAGGGTATCTTCTTGCTTCAAACAATGTCTCCTTCCTGCTGTTAAGCCACTCTCACTTCCTTGACTAAGGAAAGGAAGGAAAGGAAGGAAAAGTCTCCAACTTCTCTTCTAGAGGTCTTGTGCTGGTCTTCCTCTTCAAGTGTGATGTGCCGAACCATCTCGGCTCAGCTGTTCCCTGGATCTGGTGCCATCACCTCAGCCTCACATCAAGGTTGATGAGAGATGACACAACACAGAACCTGGCTACTGTCCTTGCTGCCCACTGTTCTACCCTGGGCACTGCACCAGAGGTCTATTCCATCTGAAGATCTCCTCCATCTGGAGACCTGCTCCCTCTGGAGATGCAACTTAACATTGTATCCAAAGGCAAATCCCTCTTTTTTCTGGCTTTGGCATTCCCTTAATGAGCTACAGGATGCTCAGGCTGCCGCTGAACGCCACCACTAACACCAGATTGAGGAGACCCTAACCCAGCAGTGGATGCCATTTTTAATCCCTGGAGAAAAGCGGTAAGTCTAAAAGTGCCGTTTCAGCACCGGCCAAAATGAGCCAGTTGAATGTCAGCCACTGAGATTTTTAGGGTTTCAGGACACCACTTTGGCCTTATTTCTTATATACACAAGAAAGTATTTGCATATAAAATTGCTCTGTAGCCTTAGAACCCATTCTTCCATGACGTGGCCTCATGTGTAAGGGTGCTTTCTTCAAAATCTTTTCCACAGCTTTTCCTGGGCTGCCCTTAGGAACAAGCTACTTCCCAGCTGTGGTCTCTCCCACGCGGACCAGGATAGTTCCATAATTGCTGGCTCTCAGTCACGTAGTTTCCATGTTTGGTTAGTCCTTGCAGACCTGAGTCCCACGGAGCAGTTCTTGGCTCCACTGTAGGTTTGGTGGATGCATTGCTTTCCCCTCTTCATTTTGCTGCTCATGGTGAATTCAATCGGAGTAAAGTGATGAGCAAGTGGAACTTTGTCTCCTGACAGGGACATGGTGTTACCCACCACATCTTCCAACACAGAGATCACTCCTTAGCCACCCAGATGCATCCGTGGTGTGGGACCAGTGCTGATTCCTGGCACACAGCATCTGGGAGAACAAGCATAGCCAAATATTTCACTAGCCTAAAACCCCGAGGGATGCTCGGGAACAGCACAACCATCCATTAGGCTTTCACCCCAGCCTTGAAACCAGAAAATTCTTTACTGAGCTTAAAATCTGAGCTCAATCCTGTATCCTCAGTGTCATCCCAGGTCAGGGATGGCAAAACTCACACCAGGTCCGTGGGGTGAAAAGGGATGGGACCTGGGGGGCTCTCCAGTTGTTTTAGAGGTGAAACCTTCCTTTCTCCCTGGGTAACCTCCTTGGGACAGAAGTGCAAATGCTCATTAGTTTTCTTTTCAGCTGTCTGGGCTTTTGCAGGTTTTTCTATCTGGATGTCTGGTTCAAAGTTATTGTGAAAGGATCAGCTTCAGCCATGCTGGGTAATTTCTGAAATACCCAAGGAAGTTTCTGTTGCTCGTTATGAGCAGGCTGAGTTTTGGTGGTAAAAACCCCTGTCACATCCCTGCGGCTGCTGGCTGGCACTGACCATGATTCGTTCATCCATCCACATCCACTCTGAAGATGGCTTTTCATTACCCTGGTCAAAATTAGATAAATGCCGAGGCAAGCTGATGAATCTGGCCATTGTGGGGTTGCCTCTGCGGTGAAACCTTTCATCACAGAGAAGCACTTGGCATCAAATGTATAGGAAAATAACCACAGTAAAGATTCTGTATCTCCAAGAAGGGGTGCAGAAGGAAAAGGAGATTTTTGCATACCAAAACTCTCCCATGGCCAGGAAGTGGAGCTGGTTTGGGGTACAGCAGCATGTCCAGAGATGCTCGGGTTAGATGTGACCCTTGCAGCCCTGCTCACGTGTGAGCAGCTGGCAGAGACTGTGGGGAACCAAGAGCAGATGCCCTAATCTCCCACTGTGGGTGCATCAGTGCTGCAAGAAATCCCACAGGGACAGGCATGAGATAAATTGCCCAGGACCCCTCATCCTGGCAGGCAGTTGGCTTAGCTGATGCAGAGCCTGAAGCATCCCTCAAGGACCCACCTGGAGAATTCGATGCTTGTAGTGGGTCCCTGACCCATTCTCACAAGAAAATAGCAATTGAGAGTGGTTCCCCTCCCAGGTGAAAGCCTTCAAGCATTGAGCCTTTTTACCTTGCTGTTGTTGCAGGCAGCTCCCAGGGGCTCCTTTTCCAAGCAGAGCCTTCAACTGAGCCTGGGTCTAAGTGGGAGAAAGCCCTGCTCAGACACAGGTTCCTTCTAGGCTTATGCCTTCACCTGGCACCAGCCCAGCTCACTGATTTCATTCAGAGCAGCCTGAGATGAGAGCACCCTTTTTCCACCCCCTTTCCCTGTATTTCTACTGTCCTTCAGCCTGCCCGCATGATTGCAATGGCTGCGTGCACCGACCTTTTTTCCCCCTTGTCTGCACTTTGCTTATTGCTCTGTGCTCGGTTTGAATCTTCATCAGGGGAAGGCCCCTTGACAACTCCCTGGAGCTCCTCACAAGTGCTGATCCTGGTGCAACAGGGTCTGATGGGCTGGTGCTGCCCAGGGTATGTGTGATGAGCAGTCGGTCACCCTGCAGCCCTGGGAACCACTCTCTAGGTTTCAGCCTGGGCCACTGGGTCAGCAGATGGAGCTCCTTTCCAAGGATGGAGGCAGAGCAGCTCTGCAGATTGCAGGGCGATGCTGTGGCCACTACTTGCAGCTTGGAGCAGCACACGGCCACTGTGCAGGCTCAGGAGCCAGAGAGAGCCCTGAAATGGGGAAAAAGTTGATTTTGCAGGGTTTTTTTCCCTACCAGCTTGGGAAGGAGGAGTTTGCCTGTGTAAAAGGATGGGAGTGGAACTTTCCACTGCCTGTTCCTATAGCAATTAGGACTGAAAGACCTGTGCAGTAAACTCTGCTTTATCCCCAGTAATGAGGGACTGGGATACTCTTGATAAAGAAAAAGCAGAGGCAATATTTCTGCTCTAGACCCGAGCTGGATTTTCATGGTTCTGGGGAGCTTATAGCACTGTCAGGCTTAATGGGGTTACCATCTTTGCAGCAGCACTTTGCACAGGCACAAGCCAGCAGGGTCTCTGCAGCCCCCTAAAAGCCTCCCAGGTACCAGGAGCCGTGGGAAGCAGTGCAGAGACCCCAAATCGTCATGGTTGCCAGAAATTAGACCACTCGGAGTGGTGTGGTGGATGTGAGCTGGTGCAGGTCTCTCCATGCCGCCGCTCCATCCCTTCAGGATACAGCCACAAGGCTCCTGGCAGGTTGGAGTCTGTTGCTGATATGGGGTTAATATGAACCAAACTGCTGTTTCAGCCCAAGGAACTGGGCAAGATGCCCGGGGGCCGAGGGTCAAGGCGGTGAGGCAGCCATCACTGTTGCCCTTGCTGGAGCTATCAGGAATTGCTCAAAGCCCAGAGCTGGGGTGAGAGGTGCACACAGTGCTCTGGCTAATATCCTCCCTGCTTTGGGGGCACAAGCGAGCTTTGATTTTTTTTTCCAGCCCTCAGGAGGAGCAGGATCATGCACCGCTCCGTGGGAGAGACTCCGGCCACGTCCAGGGATGTCAGTGCCCCAACCTGCAAAGTGCCCTTGGCAATGTCACCTCACCCTCTGCATCCATCCCCCAGCTGCTTCCCCCTTAACGTTAAGCCTTGTTGGCTTTGTAGCTAATCGCTCACGCGATAACCTTGGCTGTCCCTCGCTCCCCCTCGTTGGCTGCAGTGATAGCAGAGACCTCTTTTCTCACGTCACCTCTACACACAGGAAAAATGGTGAGCAAAGCTCCCCCAGGCCCCTTTTAGCAATAAATCCCCCATACAACGCCTGCATGTGCCAGGCTGCTATGGGAAATGAGGGTTGATGGGAACCGTTTTGCTCTTTGGGCGTGTTTTCTGTTAAAAAGCTGCCGTATGAAACAGATTAAAAGGGCTCAGTAAATGATTAAGCAGTTCTTGCAGAGTTTGACAGGGCAATAGTTTGTTTATTACCGTGGCTTATAGCCACCTCTGGCGCTTGCTTCTAGAACATGTCATATACTGTCCGTATGAGCGCCTGATAGCGACTGCTAAGTGTTTGATAACCTGTTATAAAAAGCATCCTAATATGGAAAGCTATCCCTTTATTTAAGGACAGAATTGTTTGCTGATGAGTTGTTTGCTGAGCGATGCTATCCCTGCACCACAGGGAGCTAAATGTGTTGGAAAGGCAAAAGTCTGAGGATTCAAGTGTCCCACCACACAGCTGGGATCTGGACCGAGGCCTGACAAACTTGTGCCATGTGTGCCAGGAGATCAGAGCGGTTGGTGGGGGCAGACTTGGTCTGGAGGAGGCTCTGAGGGCAGATGTACAAAGGCGTTCAGCTGCCCTTCGAGCTGGCTGACAATGTGTTTCATCACTTGAAACCCTTGCTTAGCTCCCGTTTAAGAGGGTCTAAAGTCCCAGCTCATTTTCTGCATGTCATGGTGCTGGGTATGTCAATGTTTAATCTCTGCATGCTAAGGGCTGCTTAGATCCCTGGGGGGAGGAATCCCAGCTCCTTTTGGAGGAAGGCCTGGGGGACCGATGGGGTTGGACCAGCATCTGGTAAATCATCCCAAACACAGCAAGACTGTGCCTGCACCCCTGGGACACCCGGCTTTTAGGGCACCCTGTGAGGAATCAGCCCATCCTGGCTTGGAAGCGGTTGTACTTCACCTGGGTTAATGAAGTATTCACTGGAGGTGAGAGGTTTTGCAAGGACCAGTTAAATACTCACGGGGAAGGGATGCCGTAATGCCATAACCCCATGGATGGAGCAAGGAAAAGGCTGGGTCCAGGCTATGGGTGACCAACCTGTGCCCCTTGGCAGCACTCCTCATCACCTCCAGGCAGTGCTCAGGCTGCTGGCTTGGCAGTTTAATGCTTTCATGAGGCATAAGCCTTGAAGGACAAGAGTTTGCAGCTCCAGGGACTCCCTTACCACAGTGGGATATATCCCGAGAATCCCAATTTCATCCGACTCTGCCTCCAGATGTGTCAGGACCTGGCGCTTCCCACCAACCACCCACATCTCCCCGGTGGTACCTCTCCTCCATGAGGGGCAGGGCTGGAGTACCAGCGCAGCATCCTGCTATATCACAGGAGGGAGGAAAACCCAAAAGGCCCCGGGGACAGGACAGCTCGGACCAGATGCTCTGTCTCCATTGTGTACTGTATTTCTGCCACAGGTCTTCTGCCCCTGGGGAAACCAAGGGATCTAAAGCAGTTGTCTGGGAGAGAAATCACTGCACTGAAAGCTGGGAAACTTCCCACACATGTTTTATTCTTGGAGTGATTTTGGAGTCCTGATGTCCCTGTGGGGTTTTTTTTTAATATGTTGTTGCTTAATATTAAAAAAAAAACAAAAACAAAACCAGAAATCCTGAAAAACTTGTTTCCCTCTTCCTTTCCCTTCCTTGTTTTTTTCACCCTGGAAAATGGTGGGGCTCATCTTGAAGTAGAGACCCATCTCCAAGCTGCGTGGGACGGCAAAAGGAGGAAGGAAGAAGAGGAGGAAAACTCCGAGGGCGGCAACCGAGGAGTGACCCAGCACATAAAAACATCTTCAAAGCGAAGAGGTTGTTTTGCAAAAACACCAGGGTTTCACTGGAAACCACCCGAGCTGGAGCCATGAAGCCGTGTCAGGAGCTGGGCCAGCGCTGGGGAGCCTGCCAGGTCTGAGCACTTTGGGGCTGGCAGAAAGCCCCGAGCTCCTGTAACCCAACCTGCTCCCCAAAACCACCCCTTTCCCAGAATTACCATCTCTCTGGGGCAGCAGTGACCTTTCTTCTCTCACCCCTTACCCTGGACAGGGCTCACTCAGGAAGGCTTTTATCCATTCTGGCTCTTTTTCACAGCAAAGCCTCGCTCACCCTGGGAGCGCATTACAAAATCTAACCGAGCGGCTGATTCGGGTGGTTGGGAGGCTGCTGCGATCGATCCCAAATGCGGTGACCTCTGATATTTTCAATGGCTTCCCGGGCAGCTTATCATCTCTGTATACTTAGATACTGATGTCACGGCGGTGCGGGTAAATACGCCCGGCATGTATTGCCGGGCAAGGCTCGGATGAGCAGGCTGGCTCTTTTTCCTCCACTCCGTGCAGTTTTCATCCTATGGGGCCAGGGAAGATGGGAGCCTGGTTGCACAGAGTGTGTTGCCTGGAGCCACCTGCCTCAGTTTCCCCTGCCCATCATCTTTGTTGGCAGCAGATGCTCTTTCGGGTGCCGACAGCCACGCTGCGCCGGCTGGCTTGGTGACGCTCGTTGCAGCTGGGATGTGTGTCGTCTTCTTGCGCATTTCTCAGCAAAATAAGATTTTAATGTAGTCCTGGTCATGCAACAACTTCAATCTAACACTTCCATCCCCAAATTCTGTGCCTAAATGTCTTCCACCCCCCTTCTGCACTGTAGCATCTTGCCTGGGAGTTACAGAAACTGAATTAGAATAAAAATGGAGAAGCAGATCCAGGGAAACACCCTCTTTTTCCCCTTTCCGGGCAAAGGGGGTTGTCCCGGGGTGATGTCTTCAGGGCATGCAGCTGAAGGGCTCTGCCCAGGCACCCTGGAGCAGTGCAGTGCTGGCTACAAAGCCTGTGTGTCACCTTGTCCCTGGGTCTCCATGCAGCTCAGGGAAGGAGCAAAGTGCAGGGAGATAAAACACCAGTCACTGCCTGCATCCCCAGGAGGTGGTGGAGAACAACAGGCAGAGCCCGGGCACTTCAGTGCAGCATTTCTCTGTCTGCAGTCGATGCAGAGAAGTTGCAGAGAGGTGCTAAAATCCACCAGGGTGTGTAATTCATGTAAAAAGAGATCAGTTTTGTGATGTCCGGCTTGTATGGCCGGGTACCAGCCCCTATCCCTGGCCCCATTCTCCTCCAGGCGCTGGCCTGACTTTCATCCCTTGCCCTCGCTCTGCGGGAGGCAGCGAGGCTGCAGCCAAGAGAGGGTCACAGGAATCCTGGCACGGCCCCGCTCCCAAAAATCTCAGCCCAGCTGAACAGGCTGCCACTGCGCAGGGCAAAGCCAGCCAGAGCGGCGGGGACAGGGCTGCGAACGGGAGCCACGGCCCTCACCACGATTTAACTGTTGCTGGGTGGGTTTTTTTTGGGGGGGTTTGTGTTAATCACCCTTCTGTTTCGTGAAATAACCCTGCAGGTGTGAGCAGCCAGGCTGTGGAAAGGAGACGCTGATCCCCTTCGTGCAGCGCCTTGGATTTTATGTCTACCAGTTGGAAGAAAAATTCAGCAGGAAAGCTTCTAACCAAGGGAACATGGACAGTCAGATTACCCACCGCATGGGAAAACTCAGAAATACTGAAAAGGAGGATGCCAAAGACACACATTTGCCTGAAAACATCACACCAGAGGAGCAGAAGCCCTCCAAGGAGATCAGGCCTATGCTTGGTGCCATCTTCCTGAGCCTCATCCTGCTCATTGCCGCGGTGGTGGCCTGGTGCTACACTGTGTCCCTGAGGAAGGAGGAGCGGCTCAAGCCAGAGCTGATGGACCTGCAGGTAGAGCTGATGGACCTGCGGGCGGATGGCTTCGTCATCAGGAACCAGCATGGGGAGGTGGTCTTCCGTCTGGCCTTCCGCTCGGGCAGCCTCGACCTGGAGTCGTGCTCCAAGGAGGGTGAGATTTTGAGCTGCACGCGGTCAGGCCGGGGGCCGCTCAACTTCTTCATCCAGACGGTGAAGCCCAAAGACACGGTGATGTGCTACCGCGTGCGCTGGGAGGAGATGGCGCCTGGCCCAGCGGTGGAGCACACCATGTTCTGGGAGGACGCCCACTGGTACGGGGGCTCGGAGATGAGCACCCAGCACTGGCCCATCCGCCTGGCCGGCTACCAGGAGCCTGTGCCCTACGTGACGAGCGACGTCTACTCCTTCCGCGACAGCTTTGGTGGCATCCTCGAGCGCTACTGGCTCTCCTCCAAGGCGGCGGCCATCAAGATCAACGACTCGGTGCCCTTCCACCTGGGCTTCAACGCCACCGAGCGTGCCCTCTTCTTCCAGGCCCGCTACAAGGACTCACCCTACAAGCCCCCACCAGGGCAGCAGCCCTTCCCCGAGCTCAGCTACTGGGTCTGCGTGGGCTCCGACGTCACCTCCATCCACAAGTACATGGTGCGCAGGTACTTCAACAAGCCCTCCAAGATCCCCGCCGAGAACGCCTTCCGATACCCTATCTGGTCTACCTGGGCCCTCTACAAAAAAGATATCGACCAGGAAAAAGTTCTGAATTTTGCAAAAAACATTAAGAGGTACCATTTTAACTGCAGCCACATTGAAATTGATGACATGTACACGCAAGCCTATGGTGACTTTGATTTTGACCCTGTCAAGTTCCCCAACGTAGCGGAGATGTTTGCAAAACTGAGGGAAGATGGGTTCAAGGTCACACTGTGGATTCATCCCTTTGTACACATAGATTCCTCCAATTTTGAGGTAGGTATTGAGCATCAGCTGTTCATCAAGCATCCATCAAGACGGCTACCAGCTGTGGTGAAATGGTGGAATGGCATTGGGGCCATCCTGGACTTCACCAACCCAGCAGCTCGGGACTGGTTCCAGAGCCACCTGCGCCAGCTCCGACACAAGTACGGCATCTCGTCCTTCAAGTTCGATGCGGGTGAGACCAGCTACCTGCCCAAGCAGTTCAGCACCTTCCGCCCACTCTCAGACCCCAGCATCTGGTCACGGCGCTACACAGAGATGGCCATCCCCTTCTACGAGCTGGCTGAGGTGCGCGTGGGCTACCAGTCCCAGAACATCTCCTGCTTCTTCCGTATCATTGACCGCGACTCCGTCTGGGGCTATGAGCTTGGCCTCAAGTCCCTCATCCCCACGGTCCTCACCATCAGCATGCTGGGGTACCCATTTGTACTGCCAGATATGATCGGTGGAAACTTTCTTCCCAACAAGACAGATGGTGCGGTAGAGGTCCCCGACCGGGAACTGTACATCCGGTGGCTGGAGCTGTCGGCCTTCATGCCCTCCATGCAGTTCTCCATCCCGCCCTGGCTCTATGACAAGGAGGTGGTGGAGATTGCACAGAAGTTCACAGAGCTCCATGAGTCACTGGTGGCCCCACTGCTGCTGGAGCTGGCCGGAGAGGTCACTGACACAGGCGACCCCATCATCCGTCCCATCTGGTGGATCTCACCCCGTGACGAGGCTGCTCACCGGATCGACTCCCAGTTCCTCATTGGGGATACCCTCATGGTGGCCCCCGTCCTGGAGATGGGCAAGCAGGAGCGTGATGTCTACCTGCCAGCGGGCAAGTGGCGCAGCTACAAGGGGGAGTTGTTTGAGAAGACGCCGGTGCTGCTGACGGACTATCCCGTTGACCTGGATGAAGTCGCCTATTTTCTCTGGGTTTCCTAACAGGCACCTCCATTAGCTATGGAATGGTCTCAGGGATTAATGAACAAAAGGCTTGAAGACCTGGGAATTTTAATAGTTTTTAAAATTGAACTACTTCAGTATGAAATTTGAAGAAACTTCTGTGACTTCTCTTCTGTGTGGCAAGTGCTGTAGAATAAGTTATGTATTAAGTTATATTGTATGGCTGTCTTTATTACTACAGTATGACAAATAGAATGTATAGAAACACAGCCTCTGCTCATAATCTTTTCCCCGCAAGAAATGCCATGCACGCTTCTGTTTTATAAAGGAAATGGGCTCCTTTGTTACCCAGCTTCACAGCTCATCCCTTGAGATATTTATAATTTCATTTACTCAGTGAAGGAGGCAGTTGCAGCAGAATACATTTTTTTTTTTACAAAAAGCAGTCTGTGATTATCCTGAAGGGATGTGCAGTCTGCACATTAGAGGGTGCTGATGCAGGAGTAAGGGGAGTTTGCATTTCCCATGGCCTGGGCTATCTGAGCAAGGAGAAAGAAGCTACAGCACTTGCTAATGCAATCAAGATTAAAACCTTGCACCACGTTAGGCATAGGTTCAGACCTAATAGGATCCATGTGTGTTTTGGGACCACACTTAGAGCCAAAGGGTGCAGTCCTTCAGGTCCCAGGGGAGGACTCAGCCACCATCCTCCTGAGAAAACTCAGATGACTAACAAACCAGTCCAAGTGCCTCATTTGATGTTCTCCCATGCCACCAGCTGTCTTGATGGAGATCGTTGCCCATGAGCCAACATCCTTCTGCCCAGTGAGGTGACTTCTGGGTGAAGCCACCTCAGCAGCACCTGTGGGCTTGGAGTAAGCAGGCTCACTGTGAAATGCTTTCTGCTCTTGGTCCAATCTCCTGTTTCAGAACAAAGAGAAGTTTAAAGGTGACATGACTGAGCAGTTCAGGAGATTCCTGGGGTCTCCGGACTGCAAAGTCCCTTCTTAAAGTGAGAGACTGATTCCTTTGCTGACCCCAGCGTGCTGCTGGTGGGAACCTGGAAGGTAAAGCTGTGCATGACCCAAAAGCATAAGATAGCTCCTTTCTTTATGGTTTTGCCCCAGAACTGGTCCATGTAAAAAGTGAACAGAGGTTGGAGAACATTGCTCTCATGCCAGAGCTGATTGGGTGCTCAGGTGAAGCAGCCACAAAACTGGCTTAGACCCTCATCACCCATCAGTGATGCTACAAAGACCCCGCTTGGTCACAGTGACATAAGAGCAGTTCGAAGTGTGATAAGCCAGAACATCTGAGACAGGGGAGGTTTAGGTTAAATATGAGAGAAATTTTTTACACTGAAAGGGTTATCAAGCAGTGGAACAGGCTGCCCAGGGAAGTGGTGGAATCGTCATCCCTGGAGGTATTTAAAAGATGAATAGGAGTGGTGCCTAGCCATATGGTTTCATGATGGTTTTTGTCAGTCTTAGGTGATGGTTGGACTCGATGCTCTGAAAGGTCCCTTCCAACCTAGACAATTCTGTGTTTCTACGATCTTCTAGATGCCCCTGAATGCAGCTTGAGCTGCAGCAATGCTATCGCTGCTGTGGCAATGGGGATGGAAAACCCTGCTTTAACCCAGGGATGTGAAAGGGAAAGCAATGCTCAGTCTGGCAGCAGCGTTCAGTGTTAATAGACCATCTCTAGGTACTTACCGCAGGCTTCCTCACACTTCAGGATAGTGTTTTCCATTGGTTTATCTCCCTCGACGACGAGAAAGCGTTTCTGAATTCTTTCTTGGTGGCTGCTTTGAAGCCCTGGCGGTCCCAAACAGCTGGACTTGGGGCAACTGTAGGGTCCCCAGGAGGGCCAGCAAAATTCCTCAGGCTGCTGTTGTAGCAAGAAAAAAAGCTTTCTGATGGTCATGGTGCTGAGGAGGGGTGGGAGGACCAGTCTCCAGTACCCTCACACTGCACCTCTGCCCCTATCATCAGTGTGCTCTGTATGCCAAGCACGGCTCTGCTGCCCAGCTGCATCACAGGCTGGGGTGGAAAAAGCATCACTGAGACTTTCTGCAAACTCTGGGGATGATACAAGCTGCCTGGTCCCATTAGGCTGCAAAGATGTCTGTCCCAAATCCCTGTCTCTTTCTGATCTCTCCCCGATGCCTTTCCCTGATGCCCAGCTGAGCCGTGGGGAGCCACAGGCGACTGGTGCCAGAGGCATCCTGTGAGATGGTGGCACGGTGGTCACCTCTGCTTCCTCCTGCCACACCAGGGTTGAGTGCTGCCAGAGGGACCTCTTGTTTGCCTTGCTAAGCTTGTCTGGGTTGGGTTTCTGCACTCCCAGTGCTGAGCAAGAACTGTTTGCTGGAGGTACTGGTGACATGGGACTCATCTGCAGCCCATCACTCACCCCAGGCTGCCTGGTTTTTTTGGGGGGGACACAGTTTATTGCCTTTAATCTTTGATGATAGCTGAGCTAAAAAACACCCAGCCCTGCAGGCAAAAAAGAAATATAATGCAATAAATAAAAATCCCTGCTTTTCTCTACTTGGCCTCCGGGATTTTGCATCACCCCAGACCATCTTTATGGCTCCCCCGGCGCAGAGGATCTGCAGGCTGGCAGCTCCTGCCTGGCTCAGGATGAGCTGTGACTGAGGAGGTTGTTTTTTTCCTGAGGCTGCCAGCCTGGCTGTGTGCCCAAAGGGACTCTGCTGCTGTCAGCTTGTCCTTTCACCACGGTCCTCCCCAGCCTTGGGCTTTGCCTGCCTGCCTGTTGCTTTTTTATTTTTTATTTCTTCTTACTTTTAATAAAAGCTGTGATTTCGGGAAGGGATGGACACGCTCCCAACCAGGATCGCATGGGTCAGCAGCCATCGCTCTGCTGTCACCCACAGGCATCTCCTTGGAATCTGGTTTGAAGCCAACTGGGCTTTTGCTGGAGCCCCACTGGGGTTTGCATTTTGCCATTAACACGCCTCCCTGTGCTACACACAGCAGTGGATGTGTTTCCAAGCGCTGCCATTGAGCTGGGACCCAGCACAAAGCAGACTCTGCTTTTGGGAGGATGCAAACCAAAACCAAACCCAAATCCACTGATTCCAGGGAGGATTCCTACATTATTGAGGATTTGGTGCAAGGCTGCAAGTGCTGCAAGCTGCCAGCCTGCCCTCAGGTCTCCAGCCAGGACCAGTTTCAACCCCCCGGTGGGAGCATCAGCCCAGTGTACGGAAGCCACCTGAGATCAAGGGAGAAGGCAAAGGAAAAGCATTGAGAAAATGTCTTTTATTGCAAAAGGAGCAAATTGAAGTCCCTCTCATTGCCCAAGCCGAGCTGCCCGTGTTGGCCAGTGCCAGTGATGCCCAGTTAGCACAAGGCAGGCTGTGGTTTGTACCCTAACAGATGGAAATGGCAGAGAAAAACCTGTTGTGTGGGGCAAAAGGGGTGGCATGGGGCAAGGCAGGCTCCTGAACGAGTTTCACACACTCCATTTCTGGCACTCCCATAGCCACAAACATCTAGTCTGTCCCACTCCCAGCTATCAGCACCATCTGGAAAGGTGGACTCTGGGGGCAGTGGGGACAGACAGGTGTCAGATGGACCTTCTGGAGTGCCTGAGGGAAGCCAAGAGCAGGGTCCTCTTCTTCAGTGCCTGCAAGAAGTCCCAAAGCATGTGTCTCCTGAGAGCAGTGTGGACCAGCAAAACCACCAGAGTTGGTGTCACAGGGCCCTTTTTGGGTGGATGTCAGCAGAAATTGGGGCATGATCTAGTCCCCATCTCTGGGGCAGATGCAGCATTGGGGTTCACCGGACACAGTCTTCTCCAGGTCAGCCATAAGACACAGCTATTTACTTTGCTGTGGGGACCCAAGGGAGGGCGATCTGTGACCCATACCAGTGGGTCACCTCCATATCTTCATCTCCTGTCACCACTGCAAACAGAAGAGCAGGGGGGCTGCCAGCTCCTCTGTTTAAAACATACATCAAAGCTGCAGGCTGCAAGCTTTAAATAAACCAACAATCTCAACTCTGATTTTTGAGACGCCTACAACTACTTAAAGGGTGGATGTCAAGAGGATGGGGACAGTCTTTTTTCAGTGGTGCCCAGTGACAGGAGAAGAGGAAATGGGCACAAACTTGAATACAAGAATTTCCGTCTGAACATTCAAAACCAACCTGGACATGTTCCTGTGCAACCTGCTCTGGGTGGACCTGCTTTGGCAGGGGGGTTGGACTAGATGATCTCCAGAGGTCCCTTCCAACCCCGTATCATTCTGTGATTCTGTGAGAAGACTGGATTAAAAAAGCCCCAAATATGCCTGAACCACCAGCCCCACATACTTGGTACAGATGGACATGGTTAAACTTCCTTTTGTTTTCCAAAGTTTTTTATCAATCAAGGAGATTCACGTTACAGTTCTGTTTTCATAACAATTAAGAATTAGAAAAGTGGTTAAAAAGAAACCCACCAGCATTACAGTCTGACGTAAGACAGCATGTACAAACACAAGCATCCAGAAAACCCGACACATGACAGTGCAAGCTTCAAAATTCAATCACACGGACATCATGTTGACCTTATCAGCCACCATCCACCATGGGCTGGGGTGGAAAAGGCTAAACCCAACCCCAAAACCTCTTTTGGGGCTTTTCCTTGGCTGAGTCAAACTAAACTCTGTTTTGGCCAGTGACTCATAGTATAAATTGGAGAAATCTCCCTGGCAAGCAGCTCCCAAGATGCCTGTGCACAGAGGACTTGGGGTCTGTGAGGTCCTCGAGTCCTGCAGGGCTACAGCATAGTGTTAGAAACAGTGGTTTTTTTGGTAAAAAGTTGGACGGAAAGGGCACCTAGAAGCCTTTGAGATGTCTTGAGGCAGCACTGCTGAGCCTGTCTCCAACACATGGGGAAATCTTTGTGCCATGCACCCAGAGAGAGCTGCCCACATGGACCTGCTCTTCAACATCACCCCTTATGTCCTCCCAACAGCTTTGTGTTTCTCCTAGCTGGAGCACTGAATAGCCACAGCCACTTATGCCCTAACTACAGCATTTATAAAAATAAGGGCAGTCTATAATCTTATCCATTCATTCATATAGTTAAATAAAAAGAAAATAAAAACTTTGATAATAAAATCCTTTCTTTTGAGGGGAGGGAAAGGAGGACAGTGTGTCTAATGGGGAATTTCCTCTGTGGCCTTTCTGACAGAGCCCAAAGCCACTGGAAGGAGATTGAAGGCACTCATCTGGCTGCTCCCACCATCTTCATAACAAAGGGATACTAATGGCAATTCGGGGTTTCTCTTCACATAGCCTCACTGATTACTAGTGAGGAATGCAGGCAAGTGGCACGGCAGAGACAGGGAGGAGAAGACATGCAACTTCCCTTACTCACGTTGGGATCCTTCCCATTGAAGTCTTGTGCCCCAAATCCCTTGTCTTCACTGGCAGCTGAGCCATGCAGCATGTCTCCTCCACACAGTAAGTCCCATACCAAGGGAAAACGAATATTTCACAAGCAAACGTTTAAAGGAAAGAACTGGAGCCCCTCAAAGCATGGCCTTTACGCATTTCTGGGACTGGAGAAGACCCCTCTGCACCCTGTCCTCCTTGCAGGCTGTGGTCGCTCATGTCCGGGAGCTCCTCACCTTCATCTCCACACTCTAGTCCAAGGGCCAAATCCTGATGATGCCCTGATGACTGATGCTGGGACGCCAGGATCAACTCCTTGCCAGAGGGTGTCTGTAACTTGTAACACAACTGTTATTTGCACCAATGGCAGGGAACAAACCCGAGTCCTTTGTATCTAAAAGCCACAAGGAAGGGGCTTTCGGTGACACGCTTGTTCTCCCACTGGGCAGGTACCTACAGGGCTCCCTTGCATTTCCTGTTGAGGCTGAAATACCAAACTATGCAGGGCAGACTCATACCACAAGGGATGCTCCAATGTGTCCATCAGACTGGACTTCCTCCCTTCTTTTTTTCCCCAAACACCTGATTTCCTACTCCTGGACCCCATCACAACCCCCAGGTTTAGCTCCTTTTCTGCCTCCTGCAACACCAAAAGCAGGAGACGGGCTTTGAGAAAGATGCTTGCTGGTACCCAACCCTACCCAAAACACAGCTCCATCTCCTCAGGTGACTAACTCATGCCAGACCCACACTCAGCCCAGACACATCCACAGAAATCCTGTGGATGCTGAGCTCTCCTTGGCTGGCTGTAGCCTGGGCAGGGTGCCCCAAACCTTCCCAGCCAACACAGCTCAATTCTGCAGAGGCTTATTAAAAATTCAGGGGCTGAAACACACTCCCACCCAGGGCACAGCTCAGAGGGTTGCCAGACTTCTCTTCTGTTTGCTCCCTCTTGGAGCAGAGATTGCCCACGACTCTCTGTAAATGCATCTTCCCGTACAAAACCAAACGGGGAAGCTGGGAAAGAGGCATCTTTGCGGCTCCATCCTGGCTGCCAGGCACCGTGTCATCCTGTATCCCCTCCTGAAGCCTCCAACAGCAACCCCACCTCCAGCAGCACGTAATGCTGCCCGAGGAAGGCCCCCACCTCTCCCGGGGAGAGAGGAGGGCTGCTTCAGAAAAACCCTAAAGAAAACCATCCCCCTCTAACTGCGACCTGAGGCAGAGATGGAGAGTAGCTTAATTTCATGGTAGATGAGAACATTTCCGGGGGTGCGGCGAGAACACCCGCTGGCACAGAGCCATCAGTGCAAAAGCTGGTGTTTTCCACCCACCGGCCAGCCGGCTAGCAGCAACCACCACCCTCAACCCCAGACACGTGCCGCTTGCGGGGACCGGCTGTTCCCGGCAAAGCGCCGCACGGACTCCTGGAGAACAGCTTTGCTCCAGGCCGTCCTTCTGCCGGCAACAAACCTGAAAGCTCATCCGTCCTCAGAAGCCAAAAGGGATGATGACATCGGTAGGATAATCACGTAACGATGCGGGGCCATAAACGCTTTGAGAAGACTGATGGGGCGTGCTGGTATGGACGGCGGCGGCTCTAGGAAAGGCAATGTTGACACCCGAGGCAAAACACACAGGCAAAGTGCTTTGCAGAGGGTGTTAAATGGGCGAGGAGGTGGGATGGAGCTGCCCCAGCAAAGGGATGCACAGCCCCTAGAGTGAAAATGCCTGGACGTCACTGGAGTAACCCGGCCTGCCTGGTACCCGGGAAAGTGGAAACACGGGGCACAGGTTAGTCCAGTGCCACGCAAGATGAAAGGGGGAAAAAATATATGTGTGTGTATGTATAGCTCAGTATCTTGTTTTCTGCTATTAAAAAAAAAAAAAAAGTCCTTTTAAATATATTTGCCATATTATAAAACTTAAGGCAGGCTGTGCTGTGGCAACCCTCCCATATCACTCGCCCCCACACCCAGAGCGAGGTGCTTCCACAAGACCAGAGACACTGGCAATAACCAATCCCACCTCTGGAAATCCTTGGGAACTGAAAATGGACTACCTCTCTGCAGACAAACTCATTCCTGACCTGTACAGAGAAAACTCTACCTACCGTAGCACAACCACAGTCTCCCACCTGCACCAAACAGAAAAAAAAAAAAAAGATTATCCCCATTTAAATGAAAAAAAATTACCCAAAGGACAGTGAAGTCTTTATAATTCCCTTACTCAACCCCAGTCTCAAACTGTGCAATTAGAATTATTATTTGTTACAAAGTTCTAGGTAAGGCATGGTTATCCCAAAGCTGATGGAGGTGCCTGTTAGGAAACCCAGAGAAAATAGGCGACTTCATCCAGGTCAACGGGATAGTCCGTCAGCAGCACCGGCGTCTTCTCAAACAACTCCCCCTTGTAGCTGCGCCACTTGCCCGCCGGCAGGTAGACATCACGCTCCTGCTTGCCCATCTCCAGGACGGGGGCCACCATGAGAGTGTCCCCAATGAGGAACTGGGAGTCGATCCGGTGAGCAGCCTCGTCACGGGGTGAGATCCACCAGATGGGACGGATGATGGGGTCGCCTGTGTCAGTGACCTCTCCAGCCAGCTCCAGCAGCAGCGGGGCCACCAGTGATTCATGGAGCTCTGTGAACTTCTGTGCAATCTCCACCACCTCCTTGTCATAGAGCCAGGGCGGGATGGAGAACTGCATGGAGGGCATGAAGGCCGACAGCTCCAGCCACCGGATGTACAGCTCCCGGTCGGGGATCTCCACCGCACCATCTGTCTTGTTGGGGAAAAAATTCCCTCCAATCATGTCAGCGGATATGAAGGGGTACCCCAGCATGCTGATGGTGAGCACCGTGGGGATGAGGGACTTGAGGCCAAGCTCATAGCCCCAGACGGAGTCGCGGTCAATGATACGGAAGAAGCAGGAGATGTTCTGGGACTGGTAGCCCACGCGCACCTCAGCCAGCTCGTAGAAGGGGATGGCCATCTCTGTGTAGCGCCGTGACCAGATGCTGGGGTCTGAGAGTGGGCGGAAGGTGCTGAACTGCTTGGGCAGGTAGCTGGTCTCACCCGCATCGAACTTGAAGGATGAGATGCCGTACTTGTGTCGGAGCTGGCGCAGGTGGCTCTGGAACCAGTCCCGGGCTGCTGGGTTGGTGAAGTCCAGGATGGCCCCAATGCCATTCCACCATTCCACCATCGCAGGCAGTCGCCCTGATGGCTCCTTAATGAACAGCTGACGCTCAATCCCCACTCCAAAATTGGAGGAATTGTAGTTTATGAAAGGGTGAGTCCACAGTGTGACCTTGAACCCATCTTCCCTCAGTTTTGCAAACATCTCCGTTACGTTGGGAAACTTGACAGGGTCAAAGTCAAAGTCCCCATAGGCTTGCGTGTACATGTCATCAATTTCAATGTGGCTGCAGTTAAATCGGTACTTCTTGATCTTTTCAGCAAATCGCAAGAGTTTGTCCTGGTCAATATCATTCTTGTAGAGGGCCCAGGTGGACCAGATGGGGTATCGGAAGGCGTTCTCGGCGGGGATCTTGGAGGGCTTGTTGAAGTACCTGCGCACCATGTACTTGTGGATGGAGGTGACGTCGGAGCCCACGCAGACGCGGTAGCTGAGCTCGGGGAAGGGCTGCTGCCCCGGTGGGGGCTTGTAGGGTGAGTCCTTGTAGCGGGCCTGGAAGAAGAGGGCACGCTCGGTGGCGTTGAAGCCCAGGTGGAAGGGCACCGAGTCATTGATCTTGATGGCCGCCGCCTTGGAGGAGAGCCAGTAGCGCTCAAGGATGCCACCAAAGCTGTCGCGGAAGGAGTAGACGTCGCTTGTCACATAGGGCACGGGCTCCTGGTAGCCGGCCAGGCGGATGGGCCAGTGCTGGGTGCTCATCTCCGAGCCCCCGTACCAGTGGGCGTCCTCCCAGAACATGGTGTGCTCCACCGCTGGGCCGGGCGCCAGCTCTTCCCAGCGCACGCGGTAGCACATCACCGTGTCCTTGGGCTTCACCGTCTGGATGAAGAAGTTGAGCGGCCCCCGGCCCGACCGCGTGCAGCTCAAAATCTCACCCTCCTTGGAGCATGACTCCAGGTCGAGGCTGCCCGAGCGGAAGGCCAGACGGAAGACCACCTCCCCATGCTGGTTCCTGATGACAAAGCCGTCCGCCCGCAGGTCCATCAGCTCCGTCTTGAGCCGCTCCGCCTTCCGCAGGGACATGGTGTAGTAGCACCAGGCCACCACCGCGGCAATGAACAGGATGAGGCCCAGCAAGATGGCGCTGAGCATGGGCCTCAGCTCCTTGGAGGGCTTCTGCTTCACCGGCGTGAAGTTCTCGGGCAGGAAGGTGTACATGGTGCTCTGTTTTCTCTAGAGCTCTCCGCTGAAGAGTGGCAAGGAAGACCTTGCAGCAACGCTGGGGCTCTCAGAAGACGACAACGGACTGTTAGAAGAGTTCCCACCTCCACCAAGTCCCAGGGCACCCATCTCTGAAAAAGAAGAGGATATATAAATAGTCTCAGAAGAACCTCTGAATCAAGGAATCACTTGTCATTTCTCTGCCATCTCAGTTTCAGCAGCTCCCCTGGCCCCCCTGCCGCCGGGCTGCGACGTGCCAGGTGCTGTACGCCGAGTACCAGACACCATCTCCAATTACTCCGGGCAAACACATGTGGAGAACAGCCCGAGCCCCACGCGGAGAACCACCCCAGGGCAGTAAGGACCAAACTGTTGCTGCAATTTTTATTTTTGTGTGTGTGTGTGTGTGGAGAAGACTTCCAGCGAGGCAGAAGCAGACACTGGGAAGGGGTTAGGAGGAGGCTGAGCAGGAGCTGGATCAGCCCAGTGACAGCATCTTTACGGGACAGGGCAAATTAAGAGCCATAAAAGACACCATGCAATGAATTCCAGGCAGCCAACCCATATTTTAATCAAACTGCCTCCCTGGCAGGTTTAACTCAGCTCATCCGCAGCGCCGTTCCCTCCCCATCCCCTCTCTGTCCCAGCTGCTCCAGCCCAGGGATGTTCTGCAGCGAAGGTGGGGAAATCCCTTCTTCTCCACAGCCCCCAGGTGGCCAAGGGGGGCTGAGGTACTGGCAGCTTGTGGCTGGTTTTGGGGGGCACATAGGAGACACGTTGTGCAGCAAAGTATGGCTCCTGGGTGGGAGGACACCTTCCACACATGCAGGTTGTCCTGCTCTAAGCAGGAGAAAGGCAAATTTCGTCGGGAGCGAGCGGTGCAGGACCTCCAAAGGGTTCTTCCTCCATCCTGCACGGCTCTGGGCGGTGTTTGGGCTCCAGCCCACTCCCCACCCCCTGCACGGCCCCGGGGACGCGGGCTGTGCCAAGAGCTGAATGGCTTTTCCTTGGCCGTGGGCTGGCTGGGCTCGGCCAAGCACGGCGCTGTGGGTCCAGAGGGGAAAAGCAAAGTGAGGACACGAGAGAGAGAGCGAGGAGCAAACCCAGCCACAGGAGGAGGAGCAGGAAGAAGAGGAAGAGGAGCTGCAGAGCTGCAGACCAGCTGGTCAGTACCTGCCAACACCGGCAGGCTGCCTTCTCCCAGAGCCCTGGAGACAGAAAACTGCCGGCTCTGGGCAAACCAGAGGGAAAAAAAAAACCCTCTTTTGGGGCACAAGTGAAGCTGGTTGCAGCAACTCTCTCTAAAGGCATTGGTTTCCTTTTTTAAAAAAAGGAAGAAAAAGAGCCAAAATGAAATACTGAACCCTCTCCCTGCCACAGGCACGACAAACTGGAGCAGATTTTCCTCTGTACCTCGAACAGATTTCCTCCTCCTCGAACAGAACCTTTCTCCCCAAAAAACGGGCAAGTGAAGCAGAAAGGGGTCCTGAGCACCACCTAAACCCTGCTGCTCCTCTATGGGCATGCCCAGCTGTAAACCTAGAGCGGCGCCTGTGCACAGGCTCAACAAAACCCACGGCATTTTATATTCCTCTTGGAAGCACGTTCTGTGCCAGACCTTGCAGCTGGTGGAACTTTTTCCTTGCCGGCTGGGTCACCTTCCACTGGGAGCCCGGTAACTTTCGAGGCTGCCAGTTGCTTTAAATGGGATTAGGGTGGCATTAGGAAGTGATTAGCCTGAATGGGCGATAGGTTTAGCTAAACAACTTTGTCCCCTGGCCAAGCCCCACGGAGCCCTTGCTCACCGAGCTCCGCTGGGGAGCTCCAGCACGGGATGGGGGCAGCTCCAAACACCCTGATCCTCCAACCCTGCTCCCTGGGAGGGGATCGTGGCCCTCCCCCCAGCAGTATGTCTGATGCGAGGCCGGCTGAGCCCAGCAAAAATTGGGCAATAAAAGCAGAGAGGAGACAGCGGTGGGAAGATGCCAACACCAGGCTGGATGGGGCTTTGAGCATCCTGCTCTGGTGGGAGGTGTTCCCCACCCATGGCAGGGGGGTTGAAACTTGATGATCTTTAAAGTCCCTTCCAACCAGAACCATTCTATGTCTCTTCCAATCTAGACGATTCTATGTTTCTATGATTCTAAGCTGTTCTTGGGATAAACCTTCATCCCCTCTATCAGCCCCGCCTTGGCTGCAGGGTGAAAAAGAAGCAGCACAGGATTGTACCAGGAAAAGGTTTGCAGGAGAGATTTTGGCCCAAAACCAGCCCAGCCGAGCGAAGCTGCAAGTGGCAGGATACTTCTGGAAATACAGACGGGTATGCTGAGCCCAAACAAGCTCCCTGCCTCTCGGCACTGGGAATTTTTGGGATGCCAAAGAGGGAAATGCAAATACCTACTGCTACCAGAGGCACGCCTGTGTGCCTTATCTGGGGACTGCAAGACTCAAGGCGGGAGGAAATAAAATGCAGCCTTCCACTGAGTAGGGCTTATTTATTTTCCCAAATTATTTGGGAAAAGAATTTTTAAAAGTTTTCACGTTTTCTGGAAAAAAAAAAAAAAGAGGAAATAAATGGTGTTTTCTTTCTCAGCTGTCGTTTAGGGTTTTAAGCCCAAGCAATGGCCGATACTGATGCTGCGGGAACAGCCATCTCCTCGCTCCATGTAAAATTGACAGCAGCTCCCCGGGCTTTAGGGAGTTTCTGGATTTTCATCTCCCTTTCAGGAGGCCGGTTTATTATTTATGAACTACTTTGAAGCTGCTCTATTTTTAGGCTGTTTCTTTCTTTTCCCTCTACAGGCTGGAGCTCATGATGTACGCGGAGGAGCCGTCACTGCCGCTGCCAGCAGAGAAATAATGTGTTTTTTAAGAAAGGTTTTGCAGCCTTTTGTGGTCCTTGGACACTGATCCGCCTCAGAGGGATGTGCAAGCTGGGTGTCCAAGCCGGCGGATTTAATCCTGCTCTGTCTGGGCCAGGATTAAACCCCTGTGGTTACCCTGGGCTGATGGACATCACCCACTCAGATGTGGCTCCAACAAAGGTGCTGACAACGGTGCTTGAAGGCATTGCCTAGCGCTCCAATGGGTCAGGAAGATCTCTAAGAACAGGACCTTACTCTGTGCCCATCCAGCCCCTCTATTTTTTTTTTGCCTTGTTAACAAAATGTACATTCTCCAGCGGGTGACTTGGCTAAGTCTCCCAACCTCCCAGGAGATGCCTGCCACCTCACACTAGGGAGCTGCAGCCCGCAGAGGTGCCTGCTCATGCAAAGCCTGTTTCAACATTTTTTTTGGAAGGCAAACTTGTTATTTGGCTGCAAGATGACATTGTGGTGACCTTTAACTCCTCAAAAAAAAAAAAAAGTAAACGGGAAGGGAGGGTAGGGTGTCATAGCCAAACGGCGTGTTTGCAGCTTGCTGCGCCGGAGCTTCCCAGCTGACCCAAAACAAAGCTGCTTTTTTTTTTTTCCCCTGTTCTGTGGAAGCAGCGAGTCGCCTTGCCTCAACTCGAGATGAAAGCAAAACATCTGAGCAGGACACACTTTGTGGAGTAAAAATAAAAATCCATTTTTTGACCGCTTCTATTTTTACCAGCACCGCCGCTAACCACGGGCTGCGAGACCCACAGCACCACTAACCCCAGCAACTTTGGAATTAGGACATTTGTTTAAAGAGGGTCAATAACATTTAACTGGTCCCTATTCCCCCACTGGGGTCCAGTTTGGACCACACCGGGGGCCAAACTTGTGCTGGGGCCACGCACCCATTTCGCACACCGGGATGCTGGGAAACCCTCCCCACTGGTGCAAGGTGCTGCCACCTCCTCCCCAAGCATCCTGGCAGGAGTCGAGATGAGGAAACACCACTCATTTCACTGGGAGGCATCTCCAACCCCACAAAAGTGCAGGGAATTAGGATGGCAAATTAAGGGGGAAATCACTTCTCTGCAAAACAGCCGCAGGGGCAAAAAAAAGCCTCCCTGTGCCCACTCTGCAACCCCCCCCACCTCCTCCTGGGGGACCAGCCCTGCCAAAGGGACTTTGGCAAACCTGAGACAGGGGACTTGCAAACCCTTCCTGGGGGTTTAATGCTACGGAGGGGTCCATAGCAGCACTGGAGTTCTCTGTAGGGTGTTCTGGAGTCATAAAGAGTGAAATCACTGTTCCAGCCTCTTGGTGTTGATGGAAGCGGGTGGGACAGGCGGGGGCATGCAGCAGTATTGCTGGTGTGTGGGTGCAGGGCTGCTCCCCACACTTACCCCCTCTTCCCCCCCCCACAGCAAGGATCAGAGGCACTGATTCCTCCCCCAGCCCTGCAGAGCGAACCACAAGGATCCCCCCAGATAACTCACTGGGTCACCCCTAGGTTTATCCCCACAGCCCACAAGCTACTCCAGGGTAGCTCTGGCCCCCCCAGAACCTGAGCCAGGGCAGCGATGCTGCTTTAGCAGGACAAGGACAGAGGAGGGGACACGGTGCCTCCTCCCCACCGCCTTCACCGTCCCCACCACGGTCACTGCAGGGACAGACACACTGCCTGGCCAGGGGGGCTTGGGGAAAGGCTGTGTTGGGGGGGGGGGGGTCTTGCACCTTCAGCAAAGCCACAGTGGGCATGGAGCAGCCCTGGCTAGGAGGCAGCTCATCCCGATGGGGGCTCGTTGGGGGGGGGGTGTCTCTGCACCTTCAGCAAAGCCACAGTGGGCATGGAGCAGCCCTGGCTAGGAGGCAGCTCATCCCGATGGGGGCTCGGTGCCGGTACTTACCCATCCATCGCCTCCCCGGGATCCCTGCCTGCCAGCCAGCTCCACCGCAGACAGCTTTTTAAGCACATAAAAAACCTAAGGGCTGCTCCGTCTCCACATCCCCGGCAGCTTGGTCCTCTCCAAGACACAGGGGAGATGTTTTGGGGCTACGAGCTGGCCGGCCCCCAGCAGCATGTGTCCGCGGGCAGGAGGAGGGGACCCATCACGTCACCGGCGTGTTTTCTCCGGCACGGTGGTGGATGTGGGAGCAGCCAGTACCCTCCGGCCGGGGTGCGCCGAGGTGGTGGGGACACAGCCAAGAGCTGCCGGAGTCACGGGGCTCGGGTTGGCATCACCCTGCCAGGTGAGTGGGGAGGGACGGGGAAGGCTCATCCCTTCCTGCATTCACACGCTCTCCTGACTCAGAAAGCAAAATAAAAGCCAACCCCGGTTTTTGTGGGGTTTGGGTTTTTCTTTTTTTCTTTTTTTCCTTCCCCAAATCTTGTGATTTTAAGCAGAGCCATGATTCAGCAGAGTAATGAGAGGCTGCCTTGACAGAAGGGAAACAAGCAGCCCCGCTTCTGCCAGCTGGTTTGTAAGCCAGGGTTAAAGGGTACTGGGCAGCCAGAGGATAAACCCCAAATCCGAGGGGGCCACGTGAAGACAGGGCTCATCCGCAAAGCGCAGACACGCTGCCAGCACCTTGCTCCGTCTGCAAGAGCAGACAGCAGATTTGAAGCTGCAGCATTAGCTCTGCCCAGACTTAAATACTTTCACCTATATTGTAGGAATTATCACTTTACAGCCCTATTATGTCCCTAAAGCTGCCAGTGTCAAATGATGCTCCAAACCCATTTAGACACCTCATCCAGTGTCTGACCACAAATACAAAAAAGCCACTGGGAGTCGACTCTGGCAGCAGATGACTTAATATTTAACACCCCTGACAATTCCCCCTTTAAACATTGTCTTTCTCTGTTCTTCACCCTGCGCTAATTAGCAAGATGAAGTTTTAATAAGCTGGCTTTCCACTTTAACCCTGCACACCGCTTGCAGCGCTGCCGGCTCATCACTAAACCATGACTGAGGGCTCTCGCTTTCCCCTGCCTGGAGCCACAAAGATTTGTGGAGACTTTAAAAACAGCTGAGTTCTCTTGGCCCACTTGTATCAAAGTGCATTGGACAGGAAGCATCTGTGCTCTCCCTTCGAGGACATCTCTGTGTCCACCTTGGGGGAGTAGGAGGCAGCCTGGCCCTGAAGCTGTGGCCCATGGGCCCACATGGACCCCAGGGCCCAGCACCCTGCTCCTCAGCACCTGTGGGGCCAGCAGCTCTCGGAGAGGCATCCACCAAAACCATGCAGCTCGTGCCCGACGGTGGTGAAATCAAAACACCAAATACAAGGAGTTCCAGGCACCAGCACGCCAGGATGATGCAAACCTCTGTCTGAAAAAGAATCACGGAATTGTCAGAGTTGGAAGGGACCTCTAGAGATCATCTAGTCCAACTCCCCTGCTAAAGCAGGAACACTTAGAACACATCACTCAGGACTGCATCCAGGCAGGTCTTGAAGATCTCCAGAGAAGGGGACTCCACGATCTCCCTGGGCAGGCTGTTCCAGGGCTCCGTCACCCTCACCCTAAAGAAGTTTTTTCTCATATTTGAGTGGAACTTCGTATGTTCCAGCTTGAGCCAGTTGCCCCTTGTCCTATAGCTGAAAACCACTGAAAAGAGTCCGGCTCCATCATCCTTCAACTCACCCTTTAGATACTTATAAACATAAATAAGGTCTCCCCTCAGTCTTCACTTGTCCAGGCTAAAGAGTCCCAGCTCCTTGAGCCTTTCCTCATAAGGGAGGTGCTCCAATCCCTTAATGAAATGACAGGGATAACTTCAATCCCATGAAAGGAGACAGCACCAGGCAGGGTCGTGGCCCAGCAGGGCTGGTCCAGTGGGCAGGCATGTGAGACCCCAGCACGAGGCATTAGCTCATTTGATTCACCACCTGTGCTGCATATGATACACACCCATAAAGATTTCGGTGTCTTTGCTGCTGTCTTCTGGTCCCCCAAGATGTGCTTCACCTACCCCCCCATCACTCCAACAGCCTCTCTCCCCAGAGCTCCCGCAGGCGTCAGTCTCGTTCCTGCTCATCTCCACCCTCCAAGACAAACCGCCCCCAAAGCAGGACCCAGTGCCCCGTTTTGCCCCCCACCAGGTCCTTTTTTTAAAAGACCCGATTCAGCGCTTTGGGAGCGTTCGGCATTTCGGATGCGGAGGCAGGCTGAAACCTGAGCCCACCCCAAGTGCTACGATGCGATATGGGGACGAAACAGAAACCTAAGCACACCCCCTGTGATCTTCCACCATTTGGGTCACCAGGAACTCCAGGTGCTGGCAGCTCCAGAGAGTGGATGATGGTTCCTGGAGCTGGGCTGGTGACTCAGGACCCCGGCTTTCCATCCATATCCAACAGCCAATGATGCTGGACGATCTTCAATCCCTTAATGTGCTCCCTGGCAGCTCTTCCACCTGCGGCTCTGGCCACGTTGGACACCACCTCCCTCCACCGACCCTCATCCCCCACCGGGCTGCAGGTGCCTGCTGCGCCGGGTGCTTGCCCTTTGGCCACCACGGGTTTCCCCAAGAGGGAGAGGGGGAAAAGAGAAAGGAGGGTTTTGTGCTCCCTCGAGCAGCTGTGGCCACTTGTCGCCGCCGGCAGCCACTTTGCTGACGGAGGGGCCGCCCCACGGACCACTCCAAAACCCCAGCCCCGCACCTCGCACACCGCAACGCGCTGCGAAAAAAAAAACAACAAAACATCCCCCCGAAGTTTTCTTCTGTCGGACGGCAAAAGTTGGAGCAGCACCTTGCGAGGGGAGCCGGGGACGGGTCTCCGGGCTCCGCTAACCTTCTCCGGGAGGCAAGACACCCCCTCCCGCCCCCCGCAACCCCCTCCACCACCCATCACAAGACAGACCTGCGGGGCCCCTACCCGGCGGAGCGGGAAAAGATTGCACCCCCAAAGTCAGGGTGCAGAGACACCCCGCTTCCCCGAGCAGGCAGCCTGGGGGCTGCGAGACGGAGTCCCCCCCTTCCTTGCCCGCCTCTCATCCCCGCCCTCCCGCATACC